AGATCTCCTTCTTACACCACGTCCAAGAATAAACTCAAAATGGATTGAAGACTTATATGTAAGACTCAAAACCATAAAACTCATAGAAGAAAACACAGGTAGTAAAATCTCTGATATTTCTCTTAGCAGTATATTTTCTATATATCTTCTTGAATAAGGGTAACAAAAGAAAAATAAACAAAAGGGACTACATCAAACTAAAGAAGGTTTTGTACCTACTGAAAAAACAACTCATTGAATGGGAGAAGATATTCACCAGTGGTACATCTGATAGAAGTTAACATCCAAGATTTATAAATAACTCATACTACTCAGCACCAAAATAAACAAACACACAATCCAACTCAGGCAGAGGAGCTGAGTAGACACTTCTCCAAAGAGGACATACAGATGGCTAATAGAAATATGAAAAGATGTGTAAAGTCCATAACAGTCAGAGAAATGCAAATTAAAACCACAACGAGATATCACCTCACACCTGTCAGAATGGCTATGATCAATAAATGCACAAATGATCAGCATTGGTTGTGGAGACAAGGGAACCCTCGTGCACAGTTGGTGGGAATGCAGATTGGTGCAGCCACTATCATAAGCAGTATGAAGTTTCCTCAACAAATAAAAAATGGAACTGCCTTATGACCCAGAGATTCCACTTCTGGTATTTATCTGAAGAAACCCAAAACACAATTTCAAAATATATATGTATCCCTGTGTTCATTGTAGTGTTATTTACAATAGCCAAGATATGGAAGCAACCCAAGTGCCCATCAGTAGACGAGTGGATAAAAATTGGTGGTACATATATACAATAAAATATTACTTGGCCATAAAAAAGAAGGAACTCTTACCATGTGCAACAGCATGGGTGGACCTAGAGGACATTAGGATATTATGCTCAGTAAAATAAGTCAGTCAGAATAAGACAAATACCATATGATTTCACTTATATGTAGAATCTAAAGAACAAAATACAGAAACAAACAAAATTGAAACAGACTGCTAGACATAGAGAGCAGGCTGGTGGTTGCCAGAAGGGAGAGGTTAGCTGGCAGGGTGGAGAACGTGAAGGGGTTAAGTACAAAGTGGCGATTACAAAAGTCACAGGATGTAAAAGTACAGCATGAGGAATAGAGTCAATAACACTGTGAGGATTATGTATGCTGCCAGATCGGTGCTAGAAATACAGGGAGTAACCCTTTGTAAAGTACATGATTTTAGTCTAAGCACTATGCTGTATACCAGAAATGAGTGCAAAATAATATTGAATGTAAACTTTAATTGGAAAAAAATTTTAATAAATCTTTAGAGTAAAGCTTGATAAGTGCTAAACAATTTTTTCCAGCTTTACTGAGGTACAGTTGACGAATAAAAATTGTATGTATTTAAGGTGTACATGACACTTTGTACCATCTTTTGAACGAAGAATTGAATTATTTTATTATTTTATTCTCTAATCCTCACCGAAGGACATTCTTCCATTGACTTTAGAGAGAGAGAGGAAGGAATGGGGAAGAGAGAGAGATAAATATTTATATGAGAAACACTGATCAGTTGCCTCCCATATGAGCCCTGACCAGGTATCAAATCTGAATCCTGCGTATGTGCCCTAACTGGGAATCGAACCCAAGACCTTTGGTGCACAGGACGATGTTCCCACCTTCTGAGCAACACAGCCAGGGATGAACAATTTATTGCTTTAAAAATGCCCATTTTTTAGAGATATTTCTATTTCTTGACATACTTTTAAAAATGTCCTATAGAAATATAAAACCATTTTGATATGACCATTCTCCCAATTAACATTTCCAATATATCAAACATTTCTGCATTTTCAGAATGTTTGTGCCTCTAGTAATAGAATCTGAGAAATAGCCAATCTGGGCAGCTGTAGATTCAGGAAATTCCCATTTGTGTGGGCTTTCTTTTTCAGTATCTTGTTAAAAATCTAGAAAATGTAAAAGCCTCCATAATCTTCACTGCACTCCACTGAGCATGTCCATTCTGTACCAAAAATACACTTAACTCACTATTTTCTAAGCAAAACTAGTGCAGTCTCACAAAATGCAGTATTGTGATATGCCAACATTGTTTCAATAAGTTATTGATTTTTCTGGGAGAATGTGGTAGAACATATGAAAACTGGATGTAGATGCATAAAACAAAAAATAAAACTTAAAAGTATTCTCTTTTTACATCTCTTATCAGCAGATAACTTACCAGTTCGTCAAACAGATCTGAATGAGGTGACTACACAGCCAGGAGTGTTATTACTCCTGGCCAGCAGGTCATATTGGAGTTTGGAAAGGCAGATAGAGTAACATGTTTTGTTAGCTAGAGGTCCCTTAACCTAGCTCTAAACCTCAGTTCTTCACTGTGGCTGCAAAGTATTTGTAACTCTACTTTTCCCATAGGTTCCCCCCAAAATATTAGAAACTAAGGGGTTCAATCTCTTGGCCTGTCAGCACTGGTACCTTTGTTATGACCCTGCCTGCCTTGGACTTTTACTTTGGGCGTAGACAAACCAGCTGCAAAATTTGGATTACTCACCAAAGTAAGTTGAAATCATTTTTCGAGTATCTAGTCCTTGGTATGCCACAGTGTGTATAATTGAGAATCAGATCCACTTTTCATTTACAAATAGCTCAGAATGTCAGCACCACACACTGTCTTCAACATGAACAATTCCACTCTGTTCATCCAGCATGAGAACTGGGACCCAAAGTAGTCAAGTGATTGCCTCAAATGACACAGCATTTAAGTGGCCAAGCCTGGACTAAGATTTCTTGATTCTGGCTCCTTTTTTCTATTCCTTTCTCTCTCTCTCTCTCTCTCTCTCTCTCTCTCTCTCTCTCTCTCTCTCTCTCTCGTTAATGCTCACCCAAGGATATTTTCCCATTAACTTGTAGATAGAGTGGAAGGGAGGTAGAGGGAAAGAGAGAGAGAAACGTCGATATGAGAGACATACGCATTGGTTGCCTTCCACACGACCCCAACCGGGATCGAACCTGCAACCCAGGTATGTACCCTTGACTAGGAATCAAACCCATGATCCTTCGGTCCACAGGCGGACACGCTAATGTTTGAGCCAAACCAATCAAGGCTCTTTTTTTAAACCATACCTACTGATTTTTCAACCAAGGGAAGAAAAAGTATCTGTATGAATCCTTGTTCTTAACATAAATAGTCAATGTTAGTACAGCTGGTGGTCAGCATGTCCATACTATATGTTGTTGACACTTTGTTTGTAGTTGGCTATTTTAAACGACTACCTCCTAAAAAGTAGAATTAGGCTTTTGTTCAATAGTCTTCATATGTACATTTGGCAATTCTGTGAGGCTAATGATTTTGAGTGTAATATGTGGGTATTTTACTTGAGAAGTTTTCTGAATTACTGATTAAATTTCCCAAAAAATCAATTGGAAATTGTGAATGCTAACATACCGTTTTTCCTTGCTGTGAAGTGGACCGATGCCAGCACCATCGATTAAAAACTCATACTGCGGCCTGGCTGTTGTCTGTCATATGAATTCTTTTGAAAATAAGATCCTCAAATATTATTCTTTTAAAAAGTCAATGTATTCCAGTGCTACAAGTAACGTAGTCCAAGAGAAAGAATTATTGCAAAAGTGCTACTGGGAGACAGTGAAAACCTCTCCATAAGGTTGAGTCCTTGTCTCTTTGCAATAGCTCCTTACCAAAGGTAAAGACTGAGCAGTAAGCATCCCATTAATGGCCCCATAAATACTCTGTGATGAGCAATTAATGTCCTGATGCTAATCATGTCAACTGCATAGAAGGCACATGTAATATATCCAACCATATTAAAATTATACTTCTGTAGATTCTGACTTCTTAGAGAGTTACAGCAAAGACTTCTGGGAGACACAATTCATTACAAAGCATACATCCCTACCCTGAATTTTTTTATCACAAGTGTAACAGTCTGGTGAAACAATAATTCAGTAGATATAAAGAAAAACAATCCTTGGTGAACACACAATACAATATACAGATGACATATTCTAGACTTGTACACCTGAAACCTGTATAATTTTCTTAACCAATGTCACCCCCATTAAATTCAATTTGAAAAAGGGAAAGAAAAATAATCCAAAATAGACTTTGTTTTAGATTAACAAAACTCACAGCGCCTATGTTGTTGATCACAATGTGTTTCCCTGAAGCTCCGCCGCGGCTAGAAATGTCAGATCAATCACCGCCCAGATTTCATTATGAAGTGTGTAAATTAGTGCATTAAAAAGCCATGTTAGCACCAACGAAGTTTACTGGGCAACTGCATTCAAGATGCACAGCGTACCTTTAAATAGCACTGTTAAAATACCAAATAAAATGTCAACGTCTGTCAGGTCTCTGGCTTTTATAAATTGTTTAGACTGGGAAACGCTGGGTTTGGACATTGTTCTTTTCACATGATGTAGAAAAGAAGAGACCGTAAAAAAGAAAAGAACAATAAAGTGTAGCTCATTTTTGAAGTTCTTTCATGGAAAAACATACTCTGGATCATTACCCTTCTAATCAACAATTTCCTTCTTCCTCCCAATCCTTCCCGTCTGGTATTTACCTTTCTCCCCCATCCCCCCCCCCTTCTCTCTGGGTGGTATTCTGAGCTTATACATAGTACTCAGTAATCATATATTTTAAATCACTTCAAAAGAGAATCCCAGGAGGGCATGACAGATATGTATATACTGGGTATTTTTAACCTGGGCCATAGCTTTACTCACCATTTCTATGCTCTTAAAAACACACCAGTGCGCCCTGACCGCAGTTTCCCCGCGGAGGGAAGGCCCTGCGCGGAGGTCAGCTGCTCCCTACCTGCAGACCAGTTATTAGCACACCTCAGTGGCCTCTCCCTGCCCTCTTCCCTCTGCCCCTTTCTTTTTATTACCACACCACACTCCCCGCAATTCCCAAACAACAACATCTCTGTTTCAGCTTCTTCTCTGGATTTCCCACACTTAATGCAACCCAGACCTCACCTTCAGCTCTCCCGAGGCCACTTTGGAAGCTAGCTCGATGACACAGCCAACAGCCATGCGTGCAGCACCGGACGAGTGCAGCTCATTCCAAATGGTGTCACTGTCCACCTGAGCAAACAGTCAGCAGAGCCCACAGAAGGAGAGCGGGAGAAGGAGAAGGAGTAGATGAAAGAGGAAAAGGGGGGAGGGGAGTTGAGGAGAGGGGAAGGGAGAGAGAAAGCAAATTTGTGAGGAAGGGCTGGCACGGTAACAGCCGATGTACAATAACATTAGTCTTCCGTCTTGGCCAGCTGAGAAGGCCTTCTGGACACAGCTTTGCTTATATTTTTTCTCTGCACTGACTTCTCCAATGGAAACACATTCCTGCCATGCCTCACTGCCATTCCCTGTTTAGATTTCTCATCACAAACAGCATTACATAGGCTAGATCTGGCCTACTTACAGGCCTGCTGGAAACCAGGCCCCAGTAGTAGATAGAGTCAAAGCGAAGAGCACTTAGCTGTACATAAAAATTGGATTTGCAAGTGCTAGAGGGGGAAAATTCAAATGTCTTTCTGGCTGCAGGTTTACAAAGACCAAGAGACAATCATTAGGCAGGTGGCAGCAGCAACCAGAGTACTCCGACTAAACAGGAGTGTGTGGTCATCGCACGTCAAATATTCCCAATATTCAACTGGAAGGAGGCTTTGATTTCCAAAGTGTAAGATTACAATTCTAACATTTAGTCCAGTTTGGTAGCTGGTCTTACTGCAAATGGTGTTATTAAAATTGGAGAGGACATTAAAATACATGGTTGCTTCTATTCTAGAGGACATTTTTATCGACACAAAGCATGAACCCATGTTTTGGATTCAACTTTTTAAAATGTTGTACAATAAGAGAATATACATAACAAGGACAAGAAAAGTGCAATAGTAGTGGTTTATAATTATCATATGTTACATATTTTTATGTACAAAATATAAAAAGTAACAGTATCAAATGGTAGAAGTCTCTAATTTTAGGACACATAAATTACTTGAAGACTATGCACTATGATAAAATTTTTGTGACTGTTTAAATATTGAGACTTCTCAAACAGGTCAAAGAAAGGAAAACCCACACAAAATAAAGATATTTTTAAAGAGTTAAAGGAGCCTAATGAGATAAACAAATACAATAACAGCAACACATGTTCACAGTGCACTGAGCAGTTTCCTAGGCGTTTTCATAGGCCCTTTCTCATGAAAAAATTACCAACCTCAATTCTGTCAAGAACAATGAATAAATAAATAATAAATGAGAACACTAAATACACAGATACATAGAAAATTAGGATCCCTTCAACAACAGTAGAGCGGTGAAGACAGAAGTTTCTGGAGTGGGTCTGTCTGGGTGAAATTATGGCTGACATAAACTTGAATGACATTGGGTAATGAATGAATGAATGACTCTGTGCTTTGGCTGCCTTACCTGTGAAATGGCAACTTTTTAAAGTACCATCAGCATATGATATTGGTGAGGATTAAATGAGTAAGTGATAGCAAATGTTAGCTACTAAAATTTCGGCTACCTTAACACCCATTTTGTAATGCCTAGCACATGGCAGAGGCCTAATAAGTGTGTACTGAATGAGTACACTGTGGCTTAAAATGGGTACTCAGCTGGCCCAAGGGCTCTCACACAGACCTCTGACCCTAACAGCCCCTGTTGTTCCACCACACTCCTGAAATAACCCTTGATTTCTAAGAATATTCAGCCTGTGTCCTAGTCAACACCATCATGGTCAACACCACCAGCTAAAAAATAAAAAAATCATCAAATGAACACTGGAACCTAATCATTTGCCCTCTAAATGGAAACTTTTCTTTTTTACTGAACCAATATAATATAAGTAGTTGAGATTCATGGGCATGTCTCTTTCAGGGAGATGGTTGTTTAAGTTGAAAATAAAAACCAACATTTACATTGCAATGCACAGTGTTTACCCAATTTTTCAACCATCGCAGAGCTGCAGGTGTCATAAAAAGTCTTCATTAATTAAATTTAAAATTATTTGGAAGGCAAGCAAACATAAAACTAATCAATAAATTCAAAACCACAAATGATTCCCAAACGCTTTTTACTTGATATTGGAATACACTGTAAAATTTCTTTCTTTTTTTAAAGCAGTAAATTTCCTTCCAAAATGTTATAAACATCATACTTGATTATAAAAATAATGCAAAAGCTGAGAACAATGTGTGTTTAACCATAATAACGAGGAGCATTAGATAGCCACACATAACTTTATCTGACCAAATAGATAAAGTTTCTGTCCAAATCTTCCTATCTTTGTGAAAGTATTCCTGTAGAGATAATACTCTGTGCCACCAATTTTGGTGTATAAGTCTTTACCGATCAAAAAATATATATTTTAAATTCAGCTATCATTTGTTGGATATCTATTATGTAATGGGTGATGAGTTACAGTGTGAGGTTTACTTTTCTAATCAGGATATGGTTATTTCTTGAAACAGTGTCCGGCACATAGATACTCAATGAATGCTTGAAGTTTTGACTACATCCAAAGTTTAGGCTTATCTCTAAATAGCTTCTCTTTAGGAATCTATGGTATTTATCATCCATTTATTTAAATATATTTAAACATAAAAACATTTATCTAAATACCACTTCAACCTATGTTTTATGAACATCTAGTTTATAACTAAATGCCAATAATGATCAAATTGTGTGGATGCAATCTATTCATAAATGGGTAACTGTGATCAATTCTGAATTTATGAACAGATTTGTCTTAGCTCAAGCTGCCATAACAAAATACCCTAGAATGGGTGGTTTAAACAACAGGAATCTATTTCTCACAATTCTGGAGGATAGGAAGTCCAAGATCAGAATGCTAGCCAATTCAGTTTCTCTTTGAAATTCTGGTTCACTTCTCTTCCTGGCTTGCACATGGCTGCCTCATCACCATGTCCTCATATGGCCTTTTCTCAAAGAGTGCATGTGAAAAGAGACAGATTTCTCTTCCTCTTCTTATTAGGCCACCAAACCTATCAAATTAGGACCCTACCATTATTACTTCAATTAATCTTAATTACCTTCCGAAAGCCCTATCAAATTCAATCGCATCCAGGGTTAGGGCTTCAATATATGTATTTGGGGGTGGGGGGCACAATTCAGTCCACAGCAAGGTTGTATCCCAAAAACTTGTTTATAAGTCAATTTATACACATATCTCCCCAAGACATTGTTTCAAATGGTGTTTCAGAGCCATTAACTACTAAAAGCGACCCACATGCGTTTGCCATGTTACAATTTCATAACAGTTCCAAAGCTTAGGGGGAAAAGAGTTATGAACTCTTCCTAGAATAATCCGTCACTAGAAGATATTCTCGAATCCACTTTCTGCCATTTTCAATGGCAAAGAGTATTTCTCCTCCCTTACATCCCTCTCATTGTTGGAGAGATTGCGTCAAGAAGGAAACCGTATGAGAGCTTCGGTTTCCACTGTTGCCAAGACTTCCTGACAGCAGGAAAGATCTCCAGGCAAGAGAGGAACCTCCAGCAACTGAGTGGTTCCTGGCATGAAATGGGAGGTTGGGAGGTTGGAAAGGAAAGGAAGAGAGCAAAAGGACTCCACTCAGGCGCATATATGTAAAGGGAATTAAGAAGCTGAGACAGCAATACAGTAATAGTGAACGCAGAGGCCCGAAGGACTTAGAACTGTAAGAAGACAGGTGCTCTAGCATTTGGAAGTTAAAAGGAGAGAGGTTAAGGAAGTGGCACAGAGTTGGCTCTGGATATGGAAAATAATTAAATTGCAATAGAGGAGGCCAAGAAAGGGGAAAGAAATAGCAAGGGAGCAGAAAACAATCTTGCTGACTCCACTAGCTGGTTACGAAGACCTTGCTACAGTTGTTAAGACATGCAAAGCAAATTCTTAAAACCAGAACTACAACAATTAAAAAAAAATCAATGTGCTTTTATCTTTGTTTTTCCCGTGTACCACTTTTACTTCATCGTGGTCTGTCTGCTGGTTGGTTCTTCTGCCTGATGAATGTGTGTGTGTGTGTGTGTGTGTGTGTGTGTGTGTGTACACATGTATTCACACATGTAAGCATGCATTAGGGGGCAGTGGTACAAGAGCTGAACGGGAGTTTAGGATTGATATTACAGAAATGTAAAGAAAGTGACATTCAAAACAGGATTTTGCATCAATAAACCTAAAATCCAGATCTTTTGTGGTGAGAGAGGATTTTTTTCTCAAAGTCCTTTACATGTCATGAACTAAGTCTAAAGGTCTCAAATTATAGTCCTGTGGAAGGCTTAGTATCGTGACATTACCATCCCTGCTTGTCTGAATGATAGTTCAGAGAAAGAGACTCTTTCTGTCTATGACAACCATGCCCAGGGCTGACCTAGGCTATAGATAGGATATGACGAGAGGGAGAAAAAGCCAAAAGCCATCCATCTGGTCCCGAGAAACTGGAGAAAGGCAAACCAAAGAGGAACAATGAACGCAGGAAAAGCAGAGAGTGATACTTGAGCAGATCCCAGAGAGAGGAAACCGTTAGGTAATCTGATTGAATAACAAGCGTGTCTTTCTCATTCACACCTGGGAACTGGCAGTCCACGTCTACACTAAACTTCAAGCACCACATAAAGAAGTCTGTGGGGCAGTGTAAAGGTTGATGGAAGCATTCCTAAGATGCTCTCCTGTCCTGTGTGGTACAAATGGAAGCCTCCCGTTCCCACACTCCTCCAAGGCTATGCTATGGGAGAGCCTCTGATGGGGTAACTATTACTGGGGTCAAATGGAGTCCACAGGGGAACCTCAGGGCCAAGGAGGGGGGGGGGCTGAGCCTGGGAACCCCACCAAGCTTCATCTTGCAATGAAATTAGAAATCGGGAGAAAGCAAGTTGGTGACCTCAGCTTCAAATCAGGAACAATCACGTGACCAGCAAGGTTGCCATGGAAACACGAACATCCAGAGGACAACCTGAATATCCAACAATCCCATCAGGACTCTGTCTCTCAGGTGCCCAAGTGCCCTCTTGGGAGAGGAACTGGAGAGACAGAGCAATTCCTAAACTGACTGTGCCCAATACTAAGTCGATCTGGAAGA